GGGGACCTTTGCCTATAAGGTTATGCCATTTGGGCTTTATAATGCACCAGCTACATTTCAAAGGGTAATAATGCAAGCATTTCAAGATTATCTACGAATTTCAATGGAAATATTTCTAAATGATTTCTGTACATTTAGTACGAGAGTCAGGTATTTAGAATGTCTAGATCAATGTTTGAATCAATGTACCAAATATGGAATTTCTTTAAATTCAAAAAAATTATAATTTGATATGCCTTCTGGTAAACTGTTGGGTCATATAGTTTCGATGGCAAGCATTGCTACAGATCCGGATAAAATAAAGATTATAGTAGAATTAAAGCAACCAGACATTGTTACGGGTATTCGAGCATTTGTTGGTCATGTCAATTATTATCGACAATTTATCTATCTATTCACAGTTATATGCCTTTCCTTGACAAATTTCTTGAAGAAACCACCAATCGATGGGACCAGTCCAATTTGGGCAGAGGAATGTACAATTGCATTCAAAACATTGAAACAAAAATTAGTTTTAGCACCAATATTGGTGGCACCTTGTTGGACAAAACCATTCCAAGTTTATGTGGATGAATCTTATGTCACGATTGATTTTGTGCTAATCTAGAAAGATGACTAGGATTTTGATCACCCTATTTATTATGCAAGTCGTCAATTGGTAGCAGCTGAAAGAAATTATACAACAACCGAAAGAGAAGCACTGGGGATGATTTATTCTGTACAAAAATTTTGACATTATCTTCTTGGTTATAAATTTGTTTTCCATGTCGACCATAATGCTTTAAAATATATGATTAATAAGCCTCAATTGAGTGGTCGTATTGTACGATGGATTTTATTCTTGCAAGAATTTGACTTTATTATTCAGGTAAGACTAAGAAAATCACATTTCAATATGGACCATTTATCTCGGTTATTCAATATATTGGGTAATGAACCCATTAATGATGCACTATCCAATGCGGAACTGTTTGCGGTAGATATAATTACTTCGGAGTATAGTGAAATAATTCAATACTTGATATTTCAAACCTTTCTACCTAATTTTAATGAAAAGCTTAAACAATGCTTAATATTAAAATGTACACCTTATACGATGATTGGTGAAGCTTTATATAAACAAGGCAAGGATGGAGTTTTGCGACGCTATATTTATCAAACTGAAGTGAGTACTATATTGGAAGGTTGCCACTTCGACAATTATAATGGACATTTTGTGAGGGACAGCACGGCTCGTAAAGCTTTATAGGCTGGTTATTAGTGGCCAATAATGTTTGCAGATGCCCACCAATTCGTCCGTCATTGCGACCCATGTCAGAGAATGGATCGACCTACTGGAACTTCAGCAATGCCATTGGTACCAATTTTGACTCAAGCGCCTTTTGAAAAATGGGAAAAATGATTTTGTGGAACCAATTGCACCAACCTCGAGAAATGGACAAAAACGGTATATACTGATAGCAACAGATTACCTAACAAAATGGACTGAAGCTGTAGCTACGAAAATCGATAGTACAATTTTAGGAGCGGGAACAGATTGAGACACTAAGTTGTTCGTAATTTTACGGGTATACCATACTACGTATAAAGTTACTACCAATGCTACCCCTTTTCAATTGGTTCATGGCCAGGAAGCAATATTACCTATTGAATTGGAAGTCCAAAGTTTATGAATTGCTATAGATAATAGATTGGGAGATCATGATTCATTACGGCACCGTTTAGAAGAATTGAAAAAATTGGATGAAATTAGAGCCAATGCATTAATGATAATAGAAACTATACAAAAAAGAAAGAAGACTTATTATGATAGTAAGCTTAGACCAAAGGCTTTTATGCCAAATGATTTGATACTTCTTTATGATAGTTGATTTAAAAATTTTCCTAGAAAATTTCAAGTTCGATGACATGGGCCATATCAAATTATTGACGGATTTTCAAATGGTTCAATGCAATTGGAAGATTTTATGGATACTAAATTTATGACACGGATCAATGGCAATTGACTTAAACTTTACTATACATAAATCCGGGACAGGTTTTCTGTTACAAAAAGAGGGAGGATAAATAATGATGATGATAGGGTAGTAAATATAAGGTGATAAGAAGTATGAGGAATATGGATGGGATTAGTGACGGCGGTAATAAAGACTAGTTGTCAGACCTAGTTAGTAGGGTATTTCATCATGACAAATCATGGGAAATAAGGGAGAGTCGACCCAATTGATTAGACCATAGTAAGAAGTAGGAGGGGGGATCTTGACAAGCATTGTGTTTTCTTTTGTGTAAGTAGCCATATATGTGTGTTTTGAGAGATTAGTTGTGAGTACTTGCTTGTGTTAGAATATAATGGCGATTGAGAAGACTAAGAGGTAGTTGAATAGGGAGGAAAAACAACGCAATATAAGGTGCAAGGATGAATTGCCACCATTGGAGTGTATTATTGTGACTAATATGGACCCGATCCGATTGGATGTTTGTTGGACTAAGGAAAAGTAGCAGGATTTTTGAGGAGCACATATGCATAGGTTATTGCGCATTTCGTAAAACTTACCACCAATTGATGTTGCGTTGGTGGAGGTTAGGGTTAAGAAGAAGTGGATGGCAGAAAAGGAGAAGGTGGCGAATATGAAATCTGATAAAGCAAAGATGGAAACCGATTGGAAGGAACGACAAGAGCAGTTGTAGGTAGAAGTTGCGATGTTGTAGACTAAACTAGCCACATTAGAGAAGGAGGCCAATAAGTTAGTATGGACCAATACACCAGTTTCAACGACAACACCTTCAGAGATACCTTTGAAACCGACAGAAGAATGGCAGAAGATGTTGGAGGAATGCGATAACCAAATTGCCTATCTTGAGTCCCACATACGGAAATTGGATTTGTTGAATGAAGATCTCATGGCACATTTGGATGGAGAACCTTCGAACATCGAGTCAGACGACGAAGATGTAGCACAAGAAGAGGTCGCCAATTCAAAGGGTGGTAAGCCAACTCCATTGACTGAAGAAGCCAATGCTGCTACGTCTTTATAAGTTGATGCTAAATAATGTTTGCAAGGGCGTTGCACAATTAGGAGTGAGGCAATGTAGAATATGTAAATAAATTTTGTAGTAAGTTATTGGTTGGTTATTGATAACCTTGAGAATTAGACTTATGATTAGGCAGTTTAGTTGGTAACAATAGGTTGTTAGTAGAACGAATGGTTAAGAATTCAAAAGTTCATAACCTTTGGAATCTGCTGGCCGACGATCCATCTTTTGGTAGGATAAAGAGGTTGAGAAAGGGAAATCAGGGCCAGACTGTGATAGTCGTAAGCTAGGATAAGCTTGGTGCTACCTCTTTGTTTTCTTTGCTTTTATTATTTTCTTATGAAGAATTGTAATTGAGAGAAGTATTGTTGAAACTGTGATTAAAATATTGTGGAATATGACTTTGGACTGACCATTTTGGAGAAAATTTGTGACCTTGAGAATTGAGATTATCGAATTGTGTTGTATTAAGTGAAGATATTGAATTCTGAGTGATGAATTGAAAAACTGAATATAATAAGTAAGCTAGAGATCAGTAATTGAATATATATATATATATATATAAAAACTGCAAAGAGAGTAAGTGGGAGATGAACTGATAAGCATATAGAAATATTATTGAATTGATATTCCTAGAATGGATTATGTGTTGAATTAAGATGGAAGTAGTAAGCCTTGGTCTTTTGTAGTTTGATAATTGATTTCAGATAGCTAGAGTATAGTCAATTGTAACACTAACAGACCCAATTCATATAACCAGTCTTTCCCCATATTCAAACCCACCTCTATTAGTTCAATTGCTTTGGTATATTGAAGCTTGAACACAATGAGAACAACAATTCTATTGCAATATTATCTCATCTACTTACTAAAATATAATAAATCCTATTTAATATATATATATATATAGAATTTAGAAATAACTTAGAATAGATTAGCATTGTTGAATTCTTGAATAGTAGGCCACAAAGTAGTTATGTAAAAAGTGATATGGATTCAAATCCAATTCGCATAGACAACTATCCATATGAACTAATATTAGAGTAGGAAAGTAGCAAATTTATGCAACCTAAAGGATATGTAAGCCTCTATGGCTTCTAATCTACATTCTTTTCCTTAAAGGAGAATTATATAATACTAACTTTTAATTTTTTTACTTCTAATGGTTTAATTTTATTTCTATTTTATTTTTCTCTTATTTAGATTTTCCTTTATTCTTTCTTTTTTTATAGAATTATTTCATCTTACTTCAATAAATAGCCTAAATTCTTCCAAAGTTCTTATATTTCAAGAATATTAGAATTATTTAGATGGGAGACAAAAAAAAATGATGTCTAAATATATGTTGTTTGATTCTGACAATTCTTCTCCAAATTTTTGGGATCCCACTCTTATTTTGGAAATTTTGGGCAAATAAAGTATTCTTCTCTTTTTCTTTTTTATTCTTTTATTCTTTTATTCTTTTCTTTAACCTCTCTCCTTTTCTTTCTCTTCTTCTCTTTCTTTTCTTTTTTTCTCTTTCTTTTGATTTCTTTTCCTTCTATTATATTTTTTCTTTTCCTATTCTTTGATTTGTTTCTAACTTATAATTTTCTTTATTTATTTTATTATGTATATATATATATATATATATATATATGTTTTTTTAACTACTAATTACTAATGACTAATGACTGAAGTTTTTATTATTATTATCATTTAATTTTTTTTTAAATCAACCATTTTTAGCTTCCTATCTTAATTAAGAATCCACAACAAGAATGGATACTTCCATTGAACCATCATCTAATATTAACTAACATAAAGAAAAACTATTCATCTTTCAATGCCAATCTGGACCTCCGTGCGGGAGCTCCGCAATTGGTGGTGCCTATTGCGGCTTGTGCGATTTTATTTTTTTCGTGGGTTCCATAGAGCGGTTCCTGCTCGTGATTGGTTCTCAAAGCAATGGTGTTGTCTGGAAGTTCTGGCTCAAGCTGCGATATAACGAAGTTGGTGGTGGCATAGTCTGCATCAACAACGTGTTCTCGTTTTTCTTGCACGGCGGCTGTGGAGCATGGGTCGTGTTCTGGCTATCTTATTAGTGCGGATAGTGACCAATTGGATTTGTGCTTGCTACTTGAGACTATCCACAGTGTCGTTCGAACCCTAAGTACACATACTGCGCGATTGATTCTGTATCCAGGCCGGAGACATTTGAGAAAGAGAGGAGACGCACAGGATCGGCTGTTGAGATGGCAGGACTAGGATTGAGGGAACTAGGAACTACAGGCTTGAGGGTTACCTCTATCGGTTTCGGTGGTTCGCCTCTGGGCAATGTCTTTGGCGCTGTGAAGGAAGAGGATGCCATCGCCTCCGTGCACGAAGCTGCCCGCTTGGGCATCAACTACTTTGACGTCTCCCCGTAGCTTCCTTCGCCTTTTTCCGATTCTATTTCTAATAATTTTTCATTGTTTTACCTGCCAAACACATGTCCACCAGATGCCGAACTTGAACGTTTCTTCTTGCTTGACATTGATAGATATTACGGCGACACTCTAGCAGAGACCGTGCTTGGGAAAGCTCTTAAGACTATGCCCATCCCTCGTGAGAGCTACGTTGTGTCAACCAAGTGCGGCAGATACGGGTCTGGATTTGATTTCAGCGCAGGGCGAGTGACGCGCAGCGTGGACGAGAGCCTGGCGCGCCTCAACCTTCAATATGTGGACATCATTCTGTGCCACGACATCGAATTCGGTTCTCTTGATCAGATCGTGAACGAGACTATACCCGCCCTTCAGAAGCTCAAAGAGTCCGGGAAAATTCGCCACATTGGGATCAGCGGCTTACCGCTAAATATTTTCAAGTGCGTTCATTCTCATGATAATTGTTACCGAAGAAATTCCTCCGCATCATTGGATACTATGATCTCACGTAATTCCTTCTATGCAGGTACGTATTGGACCGAGTCCCCAAAGGATCTGTAGAAGTGATTCTGTCCTATTGTCATTACAGCCTCAACGACACATCCTTGTTGGAGCTTGTCCCTTACTTGAAAGACAAGGGAGTTGGTATAATCAGTGCTTCACCCTTGTCCATGGGTCTTCTCTCTGGATTGGGCTACCCAGATTGGCACCCCGCTCCTCCAGAATTAAAGGTTTTCCCTGCACTTCATATCTCCACCTCTTTTTGTGCTTCTATTTGTAATGGTAGTGGATGTCAGAACTTTTTCATGAGATATTGAGACGTGCACATTGGCATTGAAAGATGCTCGGTGCCTTCCTTTTCTGCAAGTAGTTTACCATTTCACCCTGAATCAAGGGTAGCAACTCTTCCTTCTTCTGGGGAGAATAAGTTTTCATTTTTCAGAGGCTGTCCGTGTTGGACTCCAACGCCCACAGCTGGATACTTCTCTCCCTTCCTATTTCCTTATGTGCATGAAGAGCTGAATATGCATATTTCCTTCTTTTTACTTTGTGGGAAACTTGCTTGGGTCATCAGCAGTGCTTCGACGTACGTGTGGAAGGTTTTGAATGTTTTCGTGTGTTGTCCATGTGGATTGTGCTCAGGCGGCATGTGCTCAGGTAACAGAGGTGTGCAAGGCCCAGGGCAAGAGCATCGCAAAGTTCGCATTACAATACGCGTTGAGGGAGCGTAGAATCGCCACAACTTTAGTAGGCATGAGTTCAGTAGATCTGGTATGTCGTCAATTTCAACGTTCTTGTCGTGACCTCTTTTACATATGTGAGATGTGTTGCCTACATTGGTTGACACTGTCGGAATACATCTGAACTGCACCATGTATAAACAAACTATAAATTTAGATTAACTGTGATGTTCCATCTCAGGTGCGAGAAAACGTAAAAACAGCCATTGAGGTGGAGCAGAGTATTGCAAGCATTGACGAGGAGCTTCTGCAGCAACTGGAGCAAATATTGCAGCCAGTAAAGAACATGACCTGGCCGAGTGGACGAGAAGAGAACAACTAGCTGTGGGAAGTGGCAGCACATCACAGAATCTTTACAAGCATGAAGTGACTGTGCAGAGCAACTGTGCAGTGTGCACTGTACAGTAGTGCAGTTTCTAATCTACAAGCTGATGTATAAGTGCATATGCAACGCAACAGAAGAATTTTCCAAGATGAACGGCAGTCGCATTTCATGTGTAACTTGTATGATGAGCCTTTATTTCTACCCTCCCTCATGGCCTCCACTACTACATCGTAGAGGCTCAGCCAAAATTGCATCATGTAGCAGTCTGCTTATCCAAAATGAACCCATACTGCCAACTCGTTCACAAGCTTACCTGCTACATTATTTTGAGGCTTGTCACTCACGAGTACTACCCAGCCCATTGCCTAATTTTTAGACGGTCGCCGAAACTATTGAACTCTGGCTACAAAGCCACGAACTCTGCTAGCATAAGATATGGCTGCAAATGAACTCCAAGACATATAGTTCACATAGCTCAGAAAATGCACTGGGATTTTAATGAATGTTTAGTCAACCTAATTGCTACATGAAAGATCCAGTGCAAAACAACAAAGTGATAACTACGCATATATCGACGATATTATATTAATACAGACTGGTTTTCAGATACAAAGTACCGAATACTTCACACATCTGAGTGCAAATCCGGGTACGAGTCTCATCATTGATACACTAGTGAACTCAAGCGTGGGACTCCTCGTAATAAGAAATTCTGTCATAAGATGTGGACAATAAGAACGCTGGAATTGTCTAGGTTGCTTTGTAGTGTTCAAGGACCTATTTCTTAATCATCAATAATGGTGTGAGTATGAAGTCGAAATTCGTGATCTCACGCTAGTGTATCGGTGCTGTTGCACTTAGCAACATGTTGAATCAGTTTAATACTGCATCACAGATCCCCACATCGTATCACCCGATTGGTACAATGGTTGAACAAGACAATGGTATTGCTTGTTGTACGTGAATGAGAAGCTTTTGAATCATATCGAGAACAATATGAACTCTTCTTCGTGACCAGTATTATTCTGTTCTCGTTCAAGTAACAAAGTAGAAATTTAAACGACGGTGCTACATCACTCCCCAAATGCAATAAGCGTACTATTCATAAAAAAACAATCAGGACCTCCATCTTCAGACCGCAGCAATGGACGACTTAGTGACACAGTAAATCGAGAAAATGATATAATCATTAATGTATTGTGGTGAAACACGTGTGCACATATCACGCGCCATTACGATGTTGGGGATATGGTCAGTTCCTTTGCAGCCGCTCCCGCTGTTGCATTGTGTGAAAGTGTGCCTTCATCTCCATCCCCTTACCGCAAAATTGGCCTTTTTGACTAGCTTTGACACGAGCAAATTCTGAATAGAAACAAGATTCTCTTTGGAAATATGCACATCACAGGATTGCGCCGTTTTAGTGGCGCCTGAGTGGGAAACCTTCTCTTCTACAAATCCTTTCTCCTCTCGACCTGAAGGTATTGAATATGGATAAGCGTGTGCTTCAACTGCATCAGATAGAAATACCACAAAATCTAAGCCTCTAATCTGCACAGCGATAGTCAAACGCACCCAGAAATCAATCTCTCAATTCGAAGGCGTTTGGCAACTCGCCACACTGAGCTCGCCAGACATGTATCGGTACTGATGGGTCTTACGTGATGACAGGATACGAAAACACAGTTCTCCAAGTAAACAAATAGATGTTGTGAGGGTGTTTAGGTATTGTGTGGAGGTGGGCAGCAACAGTAAAGATGGGCTCTCCTTTGGGTGGAAGGAGCTAGGACTTGGGCTCAGCCTGCCGTGCTGGGAGGGATGTGGCCCAATTTGGGCTGGGTGTGAGGATTTTGGAAACTGGTTCCTTGCATGGGCTGCGCTGCAAGTTCTTCCAGCCCAGCAAGAGTGTGGTGATGGTGCATTGTGAGGGTGGTGTGATGGATGGTGGAATGGTGGGCATCCAATGCATTGGGGGTGTGTGATGGGGTGTGTTGATTTGTTTGCTTTGGGGAGATGGGGTGGTGAGTGTGGTTTAAGGAGTGGGGGTGAGGAGGGGTGGGACTGCGTGGTGGACGATGGCGATTAGGAAGGGGGGGCGGCAAAACTAAAATCGATAGCGACAGCGAAACCAGGATCAGAACCAGGAGGGGTGGAAGGTGGGGCGCATTTGAACCATTGGGTTTGCGAGGGGTGATTGGGTTGGGGATGATTTGTTGATGATTGAGATACAGTGGGGGACTGACCTCTGACCTAGACTTTGAACTCTCTGACAACCCCACGGGAGACAGAATTGCCTCATGAGCTCTTTAGAAATGAACTTGTGTTGTGCATCTGTTAATTCATTTATTGGAGTTTCTGTGCATACAAGTTCTGTGGATTTCTTTGCTTCATTGGGTTCCCCTTTGGTTGTTTCCATTGTTTGTTCAATTCCTTGCTTCTCTCCCCTTAAATTCCTTCCTTCTTTCTTTTGTATTCTGGATTTGGGATCCTACATGTACAAGTTCTGGGTTTCCAAATTCTGGTTTGTTGTGGAGAAGGGTGGGCAGGGGAGCTTGTCATGCAACACTATGGCCTATGTGGCACTTGGGTCATGGTGATGAGTGCATGAAGGCAATCCAGGAGGGATGCCAAGAGTTGGGGATCTGCAGTGAGGGGTTGAAATCCAGCACCACCACAACTGCTCTCCCATTGTGCTATCATACCCCATGGTAACCCTGCACATTGGCCCCCTCACTACCCAAGTGTAGCAATAAAGTAAGGGACTTCTGGATGGAGTTCTAAGAAGGAACTAAACAACCTATGGCATGAGAAAAGAACCTAAATAAACATCCAGCCTGCCACCTTCCAATCTAGCCATCCATCTTCTTACATACAAGCATGTAAACAATTTTTGAAGACTTTAAAGTTTATTTTTAAATGAGATGTGTTGGAAAAATGAAGTTACTATTTTTTTGCCAAATCTTTTTTCTTTTCTTGTGTTTCACATTGTGATGATGTTAATTGGCTTTCTTTTTATAATAAAATGAGTCATTTGAAGGCCATGGTGAGCTACCATTTATTGTGCTTACTTCATTGAGTAAAATTTCAAAGTTGATTCATCACTTTGTCTAATTTCTACCAAGTCTATAAGCTTTAGTGTATTATATAAATGTGCCACTTAGAATGATGTATTTTTTAAAAGATACACTAGGAGTTTAAAATATACTAAACTTTGCTATAGACAATCTCTTGATTTAATTTGTATGGTCATTTGTCATATAATATCTTAAATACATCAAGAGAATTCCCTTTATTCTTTTACTTTGGCCATCTTATTGTGGATGTAAAGCCATGGTTGTTATGACCTTTGTATCCAATTTCCTCATAATATGTTGCCAAAAATGCATTATAAAATACACATTTCTATCATTTAAAATAAGAGCTAAAAGTTCATATAAAGAGATCCAATAATCACAAAAGAAATTTGATGTCATGTCAAAAGCTATTTCCACTTCTTTCTTTAAGAAACTCTCAAAAACATTGTCATAGAATAAATTTAGTTGCTTTACTAAATCTATCTATAATTACATATAGAATTTGCCTCACCACACTTTAATAAATTTGTTATGAAGTCCATCAAGAAATCTTTGCAAAATTTAGAAGAAATGGATAATAGTTGAAGAAATCTCTACTTAACTAATATCAAATGTTTGTTTTTCTAATAGTTTTGACAATCCTTTATATATTGTTCATTGTTTTCTTTTATAAAAGTCAAATATTAAGACTTTGATTGTTCTTTTAAATTCAACTTAACTCTTTCTTGTCTCATACATAAGACATCATTGAAATCATGGAAGATTTTTTGTCTCCATTTTTTAAGGAACATATAGGCTCTTCTTTGTTTAAATTATATATAACTATCTTTTATGGTTGGAACTTCCATAAGTCTTTTTTGTTCTCTTATGGATTTTATTTGTGTACAATTTTCTATAATCTCTAATGCATCTTCATTTTCTTCATAACCATTTTTTTATACCTTTGATAAAAAGAGAGTCATTATTCCACATTATTATCTTAAGTGACACAATATTATTGATGATTTATTCACCAAAACTAGGTCCAAACAAATTGTGATAATATAGAAAGGTACCAAAGCTAGAACTTAAAGGAACTAATAGATTAAACTAGTAGAGATCCTAAATCTATAGAAAGACAATCTATAGACTTCTAAAATTAATTATGTGACAATGCAAAGTCCTAAGCTTAACCTAATGTTCATCTAAATAGCTAGAACAACCATGTGGCAGAGAGTATATGGTGCCACCAACACAAAGAAAGTAGTATAGTAACCAACCACAATTTAAAGGAGGAATGATGGACATTAGCAATTAGAATAAGCATAACAACCAATTTTTTAATAGTTTTGGAATTTTTCTTCTATAAACTTTCTGTTTATACAAATCATTAAGTATAAAGTTTTCCTTATTCAACTTATATATTAAGTATTGACTACTTCTACTATCTTGATAGATTAGAAGGTCCGTAGTAGTGTAAAACATGGTTGTACCTGCATGATTGAATGCAAAGTATCATAGTTTGAGAATGATTTGGTTGCTCTGAAGATTTTGCACCCTCTTGTCATTGATACGGCGTTGCTGTATCATCATCCCTCAAGAGGGCCCACGCGCAAGCCTGCTCTGAGAATGTTAACTGGGCGATACTAGAAACGGAGAATACAGAGTGACAAAGGACGCCATGACAGTGTGAAAGATGCGCAGGCGGCAATGGATTTGACTCTTCTGAAAATCAGCAAGGGTCCTGGATTTGGGAAAAGGTTGAAGCCCAACTTCGAGAGTCTAATTGAAGTCCTGGGACGTCACGGTTGTCGAACCTCATTAATAGACAGGCGGCCCATCCTGCACCAGTACGCTGTAGGGTCATGCAATGCAATCATCGCAAATTCAGACGAGGAGGTTTGTTTGGAAGCGGTGAAAGAAGTCAAGAAAACTTCGTTTGGGCTCAGTTCACGGACTTAAAATGCGTACTATGAGGACCAAGCGCGAGCCACGGAGGACTGGTCTACTCGCATGGCTGAAATGGCTGCAATCATGATCTGCAAGCAGGAAGCAGGGTCAGCTGGTATATCGCTACCCGAAGGTTTGCGAACAGTCTTGGCTAGATT